CGTGGCGTTGCGCGCGCGTGTCCGCAACGGAATGCGAAACGGGTTTGACAGGGGCTTCGGGGGGGGGGGCGGTCCTGACCGTGGAGGAAGTGCGCCGGTCTGTCTAAGTGAGGAGAACGAGGGGGTGCTCGGTGTCTAGTGAGGAGAGGGGGGGTTTACTTAGGAAGGGTGGGGTGTGGGGGGTCTATGTGAGGGAAGGGGGGTGGGGTGTCTACGTGAGGAAGGGGGGTTGTCTACGTGGGAAGGGTGGGGTGGAGGGCGCTCTGTCTTAAGTGAGGAAGGGGGGGTGTCTACGTGAGGAAAGGTGGGGTGGGGGGCTGTCTACGTGAGGGAAGGCGGGGGGGTGTCTACGTTGAGTGAAGGGGGGCGGTGTCTACGTGAGGAAGGGGAGGGTGTCTACGTGAGGAAGGGGGGGTGTCTGCGTGAGGAAGGGGTGCGCGTGTCTTGCGTGAGGAAGGGGGGTGGGGGGCGTGTCTACGTGAGGGAAGGAGGGTGTCTTAACGTGAGGAAGGGATGGTGGGGGAGTGGGGGTGTCTACGTGAGGAGGGGGGGTGGGGGGCGTGTAGTCGGCATAGTACCGTACAGGGATTGGCGAATGGGGCGAATCCCCGAGAGCTTCGTCCCCGTGGTCGACTCGGGCGGGGGGGGGGGGAGAAGGCTCCGACTGCGTCCCGTTTTCCGGTTGTTAGAGCTCGGGGGGGGCGGGGGTGTGGGGAGGAGAGATTGATACTAATGACTAGCGAAAGAGGTGGGTGGAGGAGGAGGAAAGGAGGAGGAGGGAGGAGAGGAGGAGGAGGAGAGGAGGAGGAGGAGGAGGAGGAGAGGAGGAGGAGGAGGAGGAGGAGTAGGAGGAGGGGGATGGGTGGTGGCTGGGCGGTGGGGGAGGAGGGTGGAGATGGATAGGTGGGTGTGGGGGGAGCGGAGGGGAAAAAAGGATGGGTTTGGAGGAGGAGGAGGATGGGTGGCTCGGGTGGGGGAGGAGGGGTAGGGTTGTATGGGTGAGGGATGGATGGGGGGGAGGAGCGGGAAAGGCAGGGTGGGAGGGCGGAGAGGGATGGGGATGGAATAGCGTGGGGAGGGTGCGTGGAATGGGAGAATGGATGGGGAGGATAGGTGGTGTGGAGGAGGAGGGGTGGATAAGTGGGAAGGGCGAGGAGGGTGGGAGGGGAGGGGGATCGGGAATGGATAGGTGGTGTCGGGGGGGGGGAAGGGAAGGTGGGTGGGGAAGGGGATGATTGATGAATGGTAGCGTAATCAGCAGAAGTGGTGGTGTGGAAAAGTTGTGTGTTTGGTGATGGTTGAGCATGATGATAGTGTGGCATTAATCTGGTGGTGATGATGATGATGATGATGTGATTACCCAGAATAAAAGAAGAAAAAAATATTATCGTTAATGTCCGGATTTAATGATGATGATGATGATGATGACTGATGCTCATCATTAACATAATTATGATTTGAATGTTTATTATTGTTTTTTTTTCCTTTTATTGTGATGATATTATGCACGAATGGGGAGGGGGGGGGAGTTGCAAGGTTGTAAGTCTAGACTAAACTTAATCCGTAATTAAAATGATGATGGTTTGAGATGTTATTAGGCTGGTCACACCACACACACACTCACACTACAGAGAGAGAGAGAGAGAGGAGAGAGAGAGAATGAATGGAGAGAGAGAGAGAGAGAGAGAGGAGAAGATGAGAGAGGAGAGAGAGAGGAGAGAGAGGAGAGAGATGAGATGGAGGAAGGATAGATGAGAAAGAGATAGAGAGAGAGAGGAAGATAGAGGAGAGAGAGGAGATAGAAGAGAGGAGGGAAGATAGAGAGAGAGAGGAAATAAGATAGAGAAGAGAGGGAAGATAGAGAGCAGAGAGGAAGATAAGAGAGAGAGGAAGATANTCTCTCTTGCAAAATGACGTTACTATCAACATGCCACAGGATATGCCATAGCATCTTACAGTGTCATTTGTTCATTTCTGGAAAGTTTACCTTGTACCAATTGGCCATACAGCAAAGCTTTAATAAATACAAATACAAAAAAAGGAAAATCACTGATAATTTTACAGTATAGTTCCACTTAACAGATTGCAACGATTTTACTATTAATGGAGCCCTCTCACTCTCTACAATCCAAATATACAGAAATCAGGAAGCTGTGCCCTCTGCAACCATCCCATGGGAAATTGTCACCTCCCAACCCCCGCAATGGAATACAAAAAATAAACCACATATTAACAGCAGGAGTACGACCAACATGCAGAAGTGCCCAATGTCTGTTTGACACCCTTCTGCTGTGAATAAGTAGAGGATTCTTTGTCTTCTTAGGTGGCAGTAAGGGGCAGAGACCCCCCTTGGAATCAGACAATATAGTGACTGATACTATGTAAATTAGTTATATTTTACAATTTCCCTGGTACTTTTCATTTCGTCCCCTGCTATTGGGACCAAGAACGTAGGGGTCTAGAGGGTTTCTATACAATACTTTCTATACATTTGGATAAT